AAATGTTTTGAAAAATATTCTGACGTTTAATTTTTCAAAGAAACTTCCACAGGCCACTGTAATACTATTTACAAAACTTCTGGATTCCTCCTGCGTCGATGGTTGTTGAATCGAACTTGCTGACGTTTCGTCAATCATCCTGTGGGTTTCTTCAGAGCTTGACTATTTAATATGCGTTTTTTTAAACAAAAATTAAGCTACTCGAAAGCCACACTTCTATTTCAAATTTTTATAATTTTAACATATATTATTTTTTAGTTTTGAATTAATAATATTAATGATCAAAACCCATTAAATCATCATCAAATCATCAGGATGATTGGCCAAACGTCGGCAAGTTCAATTCAACAACAACCGATGCAGCAGGAATTCAGAAGATTAGTATTACAAGTAGCCTGTCAAACGTTCTTTGAGAAAAAAAATTAAAATCCACTAAATGCATTCAGTCGTGAAACTTGTCATCTTTGTAACTGATGTCTCACTCTTAAGCTGGCAACAACCCACTGCCATTCCATCTGGAAGGACAGGATTCTATTATGGTGCAAAAATGGCAAAATAACTTATTGTTGCATTATAACGAAAATATTTTATTTTAAAAATACTTGCTAACAATGTTTGGTACAAATATATTTACATGTTTTACAGCAACTACTTAAATAGGACATATAAATTATGAAAGGTGATTGTAACTTAAATTGAAGCTTTTATTTGCCAAGGGGACACTTACTTTTTGTTTCTGAAAAACAATCATAACTAAAGCATAGCAAGGGACACAAGAAAAGCAGTATTTTTATCAACACAAATTAATAACAGATTAGGTATAGAACATTAAAAAAATCCCATGGTTTTATCAAAGGCTCCGTAAAAAAATAAATACTATATTTTTAACAAAAACAAAAAAAACAGCGATGGCATTATTGAACCACAGCCAAATGTATAAGAAATATATAAAAAACACATTTTCTTTATTTTTTCCAAGCATTATTCACATGTTGAGCAGTACCCAAATCTGGAAAATGACTTTCTAGTCTATGGTGGTTATAGTGTTCTGATAATTCAGTTTTCAAAATGACCTGCCCGCAGTTTTTGCATAGGAGTAAATTACTTTTGTTTTTTTCAGATAGTGTTTGATATAGCTCTTGCTGCTTACCAATGTCAGGTAATAAAACAAGTAACTCTGGAAAAATTTCATCAAAATGGTTGCCTAAAACGTTTTTGCAGTGGTCATAATACTCATTCGCTTCTACAAGTCCTTTACGGAATTGATCTGAACTGTTTTTGAAATCTTTTATCGCCTCACTATCTTGCAAAACGGCAAGAAACTTCTTAATCAAATCTTGATTTCGCCTTTGGAAACTTTGTGGTTGCTTGTAAACGTTGGTGTTTGTTGGCATTATAGAATAGCTTTGACCACTAGAACTAGTAAATGTCAAATCATTTGTTGTGCCTAAAATAGGAAAATTGAAATTGTTAAACCCTGGTGGCGGCGGAGTTGCTTTGACATTAAATCCCGGAGGCGGTTTAGCAGAAAATGGGGCCGACTCAATGATGTTTTCAGAATTACTCAATGCCCCTATTTTCAACTCGGACCTCTTCATAGTTATCTCATTTTGATTGGGACCTTTCTCAACACCATTTTCAGTTGCAATACTGTCAGTTTCGGCAGCGATTGTCTTGTTCTTTTTCTTTTTTGCTTTATCAGATTTGTCTCGTTGATTGACTTCTATTAATTTTAAATCTTTAAGGCTGACATCTAGGGAGGAGTTAGTTTTGTTACTTGGTTTCTTATCTGTTCTTTTATCACTTTTATCATGTTGCTTTACAATCTTTTTGGAGTTATCAGTTCTACTTTTGGCATTAGTGTTTATGTTATTTAAGTTAACCCAGCTACTTACGGGCATGGTAACACTAGATGTTTTCTTCACTTTTTCCATACCCTTGGCTTTTGATAATGTAGGAAAAGAGGCCATATCTGTGGGAGGTATCTGAGGAAAAGGTGCTACCTTCGAATTTTTGAGTTCCTCTTGTTTCTTTGGTGGTTTAGGCTGAACCCAAAGAGGCTGTGCAACTGGTGCAGATTTGCCCAAAGCGGGAAACACATCGGGTTGCTTGGTAGATGCTGATGATGTGGTTTTTATATGGGTTGTTATCCCCCCGTTAGAATTTTGATTTACATGGATTGATACTTTTGGAGCCTTCAAGTCCTCGGAATTGCTGCTGAAATGACATGGTGCCAGTGAGTCAAACCCAAAGGTGAATCACATTTGAAAGAAACTATAAATGAAGTTTTGTAAAAATAAATATTTACTTTACACTGAACCTAAGGGTACTGCTGCCACTAGAAGTACTAGGTCCGCTCAGAGTTGGAAAATTATCCTTTTTCTGGGAGCTGGCTTGGCTTCTTATAGTCCTTGTTATTGTGACTTCTGGAGCGCGGCCGTTACTTGATGATAATGAATTTGTTGTAATTGTCAGTGCAGGAGTTGGCCGGCCTCCAACGCCACCTACAATCATCAATGCAGAAAATAATCAAAAAAAAATTGAAAACTGACCTAACGACGGAAAATCATTATTACTAAAAGCTGCATTGCTAAATTTCATATAATTTTTGGATACAGTGACATTGCCGGCAGAAGACACATTGCCCAAAGCTGGGAAGTTGTCTGGGGTTAGTGTATTAACAAATGTTCTACTTTGTTCAGTGTAACCTCCTCCAGGTCCTCCAGGCTCAACATTATAACTAGAATCTTCATCATATCTAAAACATAGAAATACATGGGCTGTTAACGTTTTTTAAAGAAAATTTAACCTTTCTCTTCGGTCATTGGTTTTTCTATTTTTTGTGTGATCAGTTCTTGGTCTAGGCGCTAGTGTAAATTCTAACTCCAATGTTCTGGCTTGTTTGGTTGCTGATTTAGTCATATATTTACCATGTTCTGTTGTAATGTGAGCTGCGGCCAAAAAACCATTTTATTTTAATGATTGTTTTTTTTTTTTGTTTTACCTTTTAAATCAATATCAGTCCGAAATACCGCTGTTAGAGGCATAGTTTTACAATCACCCTCTTCACAGAGGAAATGTTCATCTCCAAAGTGCCTTTTGAGATCATCCATTGAATTATAGTACTGATGTTTCCCATCGGCATCACAAAGATGACAAAAAAGATGATTTCTTCGTAAATGTCTAAAGAGCTCATCATTGTCCATAAATCGAGTATCACAAAATTCGCAGAGTGGATGACCTCTGATATATATAAAACACAAAAAAATTATTTAATTTAAAATTATCCAAACAGCTAAAGCCACCAGTGGCGGCGAAAATTTTTAAAATATGTTTAATTGATTAATAACAGATGTGTTTGGCTTTTGAAATAAGAGGCGGCAATACAATATCTTAACTTTTTCAGCTTAGCCCTATAGCGAGTCTACCCAGGAGTGCAAGCGAATACTTTGCCGGAAGCGAAAATTATCTTCTTCTTAGATATTATCATCAATAGTAGAAAGAATAATTAAGGTAGAAAAAAAATTTCTCTATCTTTTAGTTTCAGCCTGTAGCAACTTTCGTGCAAGCAAGTATTTTTGCTGAAAATGAAAGTTATACTTCATCATGAAAGTGTGTAAATTTCTATTAAGCCTGAAATATTTTATTCTTTTTTAGTATCACCCTATACCAACTTTCCTAGTACAGAAATTGTACTCTATTATTATTTTGTTATTATATTTACTCCAATTCTACTCTATGCACACATTTAAATAAGAAAAGGATATGTGTACATTTTGATAAGATGGTAGAATGAAAAAAGGTTTTAATATTTCATCAGTTGCTTCCTAAACATATTTTAAAAATCTCCAACGCCACTGGTCATTCTGCTACTTTACATTTTGTTACATTTTCAAATTTTAAACTTACCTATGCGAGGTGTTGTCTTTATCTCCTTTACGTCTGTGGTGCGCTAATTCCTGCCTTGTATAGCATTTTCTTTCAAAACTAAATATCTTTAGGTTTTCACTGCAAATATCGCAATAAAACAATTCATGTTCCCTTCTCATGTGATCCTTGAGTTGCTGGAAAGTTTTGAATGCCCATTTATGCTCCAGATTATCGCAAATCTGACAACGGTGTTCCAGAAGTTTAAAGAAACATTTTTGAATTTCATAAGTACAGAAGAGAATTCCAAGTTTTCTTTCTTGAAGATTGGAGCGTTCAAACCTTAGAAACAAAACTGAATATGGCTCAATCTTCTTAGTAAATATAACCTAAAATCAGAAATATACAATATCACCTATCAATATGTTGAGAAATTGATAGGTTTTAACAAATATTGCTAAAAAAAAATAAAAAGAAAACAGAAATGAAGCTTGTTATGTCACATACATGAAAAGGGTTGATACGAATTTCTTGATTTAGTGTAACAATGTTTTGATGCTGACGAGAAGCACTAAAAATTATATAATTAAACTAAAGAATCTTTATAGGTTAAGTTATTTTTGGAATTGTTAAAAAAAAAACTTAACATAACTGTGGAACCGTTTCTTACTTTTGGTAGGTCTCCCCTGCAAATGGGGCATTCATTCTGCTTGCAAAGTACTCGCATTCTCGTGGAACATTCAAAACAGACTGCATGATCGCAACATCCAATGGAGTAGATCTCCACATTTTTGAAACAGACCACGCATAGATTGTCTGCATCACTTAAATTCTGGGGTTCGGCGGTCGACATTATATTTCAAAAGTAACACTTTAACTAAATTAGTATTTAGAATAATCAGCAGATTTGTAAATTTCTGGGCTAAAATTCAAGGTCAAACCCTATGTCCACTCCATGTCACATTTGATGTAGTTCACAGAATAAGGTGAGTTTATTTAGAAATTCACAGTACAGGCATAGTCGAAGCACGTTGTATTGAAAAAATAAAAAATCTCTATTTATTACTGATATAAAAGTTGGAACAAAATCATTAGCAATTCAACTGTAAGATAATGTGAATACAGATATTTACGTTGTGTTTAAAATTACGTAAAATAATAGTTTATTAACACGAATAAAGCAATCCATAAAAAGACTTGGACATTGGGCTCAATTTTAAAGGAAGAGAAGAAATTGTTTTCACTTTTGTCGCCAGTAGAAGTAGAAGAAGAAGAAGTTTTCATTTTTTGATAGGACTGAAATAGGGTTAGAGTTCAAAGTCACTTTCAATTTTAAAATTAGTGTAGTTTAATACAAAAAATTGCAAATGTCTTTTAATAGTAAGCGATTAATCCGCACATAGGATTGTTAAGATTTGCATTTTTTGTAGGGCTTTTTTTTTACCAGCATTGCACAATACTTATCAACAATAAATGCGTAATGGACGCAGTTTCTCCGATGTCCTTTTGTGAAGGCAGCAAAAGTCGTAGAGACTATGATATCATTTCTTTACAAAGCAACAAACAGTCTATGAGTCTTAAGCTCCCCGAAGAGCCGACAACTTGTTGTATGTCTGGATGTGCCAATTGTGTCTGGCTCGATTATGCTGATACAATATCTAGGTATTATCAAGATGGCGGGGAAAAAGCGATTAGAGAGATTGACAAAAAAATTGCTGATCCTAATATTAAAGCATATTTACTCCATGAAATTAGAATGCGTAATAAATAAAATTTTAAACTAACATACTACGATATATTTGTTATTGGTAGTACCTATTAACTCAAGGTACAAAATATTAAAAACGATTATACAATTATCTGGCTTATTATTTCAGATTTGTTATTCGAATTCAATTAGTTAGCGAAAGTGGAGACTAAAACAGCATTCACTAGAAAACGATTTATTTATTAAAAAATAAATAACCTATGCATGTCTAGTTGGACATTTATTTTGGGATGATCATAGAACTCTTGCTCCGTCACTTGGTTTACATATGTAGAAAACGGGATTTCCAGTATATTTTTTTTTAATATTATCTATAACTTGGTCCACCACATTGGCATGTACCTATAATAAAATATTGAAAAAATTAAAGAAAAATAAACCAAACTTGAAATATTTTATACATTTATTACGACTTACCAGTGTCACGGTACAGCCTCCAAAGCCGCCTCCGGTCATTCTACTGCCCAAAACACCATCAATTTGCAACGCCAATTCCACCAATTGATCAAGTTCAGGACAGGAAACGTCATAGTCGTCGCGTAAAGAATTATGACTCGCATTCATCAATTGTCCAAATTTGTTATAATCTTTTTCTTTAAGGGCCACAGCACCGATTGCGGTTCTCTCTATTTCAGTGATCACATGTCTTGCACGTTTGATTAACGTGTCATTCGCATCAATCGATTTTAAGTCTGTAATGTTGGTATCCATGTTAAAAAATTGATGCATGAACCGAATTTTTGTCAATTTACTGATTTTTGTGTCTTTATATATATATATATATATATATATATATATATATATATATATATATATATATATATATATATATATATATATATATATATATATATATATATATATATATATATATATATAAATCCTGATACAAAATCTTAAATATGAGAGAAAAGAAATATAAAATACAAGAAATATTAGTAGGCAGGTGTGTTATTCTCTGTTTTATTTTCCCGGTTGTGTTTTTAAGTTAAATTGTTTATTTATTTTATTTATTTATTTATTTTCATTTATTTATTTATTATTACTAAATATCAATAAATGTTAGTAAAGACATTTAATTACGTAAACATTTCCTTATTTTCATAAAAAAAAATTCTGTTGAAGTGACCAAGAAATGCTTTCTATAGTTCAACCTCAAAAGTCCTCGTAAATATGTTTATGAACTTTTTTCTACGTCAGTATTCTACAAGCGACCTAAAATGCGTCAACACCCTTCGTAAAAGTAGTATAATATAACAACGTTTGAGATTGGGCTACGTGTTGTCTCTGTTTGATAAAAATGTTTAATAGCAAAAACGGAACTGCCCCTTCTATAGTCTTTACTTATTGTTCCGTGACTAAAGTGAGTTTTTATTGGATATCGATTTTCTATGTCAACTGATTAAATCATCACGGTATAATGCAAAAGGAATGTAACAGTAGTCAATTATTGTCAAACTCTTCTCAAATTACTTACAATCAATATCGCTTTCGTTGGCATCTCGCAGGCTGACCTTTTTCAGAATTAAAGCCGCTTCTTGACAGTGCTTCCTTCTTGTCGAATATTCGCTACCAGTTAGCTCGTGTTTGACGTTAGAGTTTGTAATGAGAACAACAATTTCCGGGTCATCGAGCGGAATAAGTTCTGCTGATAAATTTCTGAAAATTCGAGCTTTGTTCAGCACACTCTTGTTTATTTGCTTAGTAGTGAATGGGAACATTTATTAAAAATCTCGTTGCACCTTCTTTCATTTCCTAACATATACCATAAGATTTAGTTGACGCAAATATGAACATAGGCTGCTACATTTTTCCAATGAATTCATTCCACAAATACCTACCACCAATAAATAATCGGCACGCCCATGCCTTACAAAGGAAATACCGAAGCTAAACGAATAACTTCGGAAGTTACGAAATGTCCCTAACCGAAAAATAGCTTCAATCTGTGCGAAGAAATTAACTTGACCTATTTCTTAAAAATTGATTTTTCTAATGGCAATTTAAAATACGCCAAATACTTTTAATTACATAAAAAATTGGCTACATTGCGACCTTCTAGTGAGAATATCAAGGAAACAAGAACGTTAGTACCAGTTAAATAACTATTCGTTATTGTATCAGCAATTTATTGTATTTTTCCTTAAGATTTGCCACCCACTATGAAACGCTTCGTTTAGTTTTGTTTCCTATGCTGACGGGCCGTGATGAATCTACAACTCGAGCTTTGTGGGAAAAACTTAAAAAAGTCTACTCTAATTTCAGTGTTACTAGACCAATATTTTATTTGTGCGCTTTGATGTCATTACGTTTTGGAAATTTCGAAAATGGAGTCTTATGTTTCTTAAGTAATTGAAACACCTCAAAATTGAAAGAAAGGGGATTTTCTATTAAAGATAAATGGATAGGATCACTATCACCATTATTGTCGGGAATACCCAAGAATTTACCCATGTTCATGACAATGGAACATAGAAATTGGCACAGAGAGCAAAAGTGAAAGTTGCCCGAGAGGCGTGTAGATGGCGCAGGTGGTAACTCGCAGAACCCAGGCTTAACAGCACAGGGGAACTAGCGGAAAACGCATAAAAACGATTGCTGCAAAATGGGAAATGTTAATGTGGCAAGCAATTCAGTCCTTAAGTATGGGAATAACCGATGAAAACAAAGATAATTTCTCAACACCTGGTAAAGGTAGTGTGCTAAGTGTGGTACTAATGAATGGATGCTTTAGGCCTTACTAGTATATTATCTAAGTTTATGATAATGTAAGATGATCAATAGTGAGGCAAATGTTTCCCGTCGCCCAGTCTATATAAAATGGGGACAAGCTTCAAATTTCAAATTTTCAGTTGGCAACTTCAACTTCAAACATTATCAAGTCGCTGTCTGAAGTGTACAACTTGGTATGTAGTCAATTAATTGAGTTCCTGAGAATGGTTCAAGTCATGTTACTTTTTAAAATCGAGCTTAAATAGTCTTGTTTTTTTGCTTTTTGAGCTATTACGTACCTACAATCGATAAGTAGGGCATTTCCTTGTTTTCCCATAACTGATATGAATTGGTCCATAATGCCGCAAGGCATTCCGGCGTACTGGTGCTCGGCTTTTTGGCAAGCTAATGCTTTTTGGTTGGAGCTTAAAGTGATTCAGAAGTAAAGTTACGGTACACATTGCGGGTGGCTACTTACTTAGTATTAGTGTAACCGGTGAGGCTGTCCAAAAATGTGTAAGTGCTGACTTCAAGCGCGGCACTGCTTGATAGGCCACCCCCCGTTGGGACGCTACTGTGAATTACGGCTTGAAACGCTGGCGGGGCTGGCCCGATGTAGTTCGCTATTACACCTAAAAGCGTGAACTTATGAAACCTAACTTTATGCCATAACATTTTTTCTTGTTCTGTTTTTTAAGATTTTTGTCAATATTTACAAATAAATCATTGCTCTGAGAGACCGCATGAGTTATGATTTCAGCCATTTTGAACTATGTATAGGCTAAAACTTGTTACTGACAGGCTTGCTAGGTGACAAATTATATAAAGTTTGGTAGAGAAGCTTCGCAAGTCTTTACAATAATATGGTTTATCTTCAAATAACTAATGAAGTACATAGCAATCTCTCTGGAGAAGTTTCAACCAGCTCTTCCAATAGGGACGCTCCTTTAGGTTGCTGTTAAAAGGGATTTAAAAAAAATGATCTCACCTACACAGATCCTTGATGAATATGCAATGCAATTTTGTGTGTAAACTTCTGATTACTCAGCACATTATCAAAATGGTGAACGCTAAAGATTTTGATATGCTTTTACCTTTAACGTAAAGGCCCCATTTAGGTCCGCTGTGTTCTATGGTTCTCACCAAGGCGTTTTCGTTAGGCATTTCGATGGTTATTTTTCTGGGCAAGTCGGCATCTTTGTTGAGCGTTATTGCAGTTGAAAATTCCCCACCGATTTTCCTGCCGACAATAACGGTCACTAATGGCAGCGCCTGAAAATCGAGAATATGACCAAGGAAGGAAAAATGATGAACAGTTTTGAGCGCAAAAAAACTACCAGTGGTTTTTTTGCCCGACCTGGAGACTCAAGCTAACTTGTCGTAGTTTGTGGACCACAAAGGGTGGTGTATTGATTAAAAAGTGAAATTTCTGGCAACTTAAAAAAGTTGGCATTCTATTGGAATAAATGAAGTTATAGCAACTTTAACATTCTTATTAGATTACATTACATTTTTGGAAATCTTGTTAAGTAAGATGTGATGTTTATTACAATTTGAATATAAAATATTGTTACATTTCACTGGAGATTTTGCTGGCGTAAGCTTCATAAATACTTGAAACATTAAATAACTGGATTACATTATGACAAATTCAAATTAGTATTTGAAAAACCCCATGGTTTAGGTGTCATTAAACTAGGTACCTTATTTTCAAAATACTGAAATATACAAAGAAACCTTTTCAATAAGAAGTAAATTTTAAAACAAACCGTAATAGACTTTGATGTATCCCAATAGTAAGTTAAGTAACTCTGTGTATGAAAGTATAAAGAAACACATACCATAGGCATTACAAATCCATCATTATAATCAGTATGTTCTCCGATCAAATTGACTCTGCCGGGCGCCGCCACTGCTATTTCGGGTTCGCCACCAAATTCCTCACGAAACGCTCGTGTCGCTTCGGCTAGGAGAGTTTCGGTCGATACGATGCATTCCGCCATTTTTCCAATATTAACTGCTTGACGTTTCTCTTTTATTTGGCTAAACAACAACGTCAAAAATCGCCAAACTCTGCGCGACAGGTGTCTTTATTAATCTGACATTGGAATGAGAATCTGCTCAATTATTCCATCTCGAATTGCATCGTAGTATCGTGGCTCGAGTGTTTTGGTGTTGTCGGTTGATGATAAGCAATCCCCACACATAAATTCTTTCCTATAGCAATAAACAATACTAAAAGCCTGATAAGGAATGTCAGTCACTGACCCGTTAATAAAGGATTTAAAAGGTATATAGACCATAATGTGCGGTTATCCTCCGACCTAGTTCTCCACAGAAAGAACGTCTTTTTACTGTTCCAATTTTGAAGCTTGTGTTTGTTGTAATTGCTTACTAAAGGCTAGTTACCTTTAAAACTGCGGTTAGGCGCCAGTACAGAGGGTTTCATCGTCCCTCATTTTAAAAGTGGTGTTATGCTTTGCTTCAAACACTTTTATTTGCCATCCCAATTCGACTGGGAATTCACAGTGATTTGACGGAAGGCTAATATTTCGAAGCTATCTCGTCCATAATAAACTACGTACAAAGAGGTTTATCCAAATTTAGAATCCCCAGTAGCTAATTTTGCAACATATGTTCTGGAAGTACTCTTCAAAAAACCATCCATCGACACATTTTTGCTAGCAATGTGCGAAATTATTAATCTTGTACCTTTTTAAATTTTTAATATACCATGTTCTACCAACGGTAATATTCGTCATTTATATAAGTTGCGTCGAGGTATTTTTTATCTAGTTTTACTAATCCGTTTCTCAGCAACAAATTCAAAAACTCCAGCTATTTTCAATAATTTTGCCAACAACCCGGAAAGCAACAATAATTCAAATTTTAAACACTAAGGCACAATACCACTAAGTTTTAATGTTCAATATTGATTTATAACTTTCGCGCATTCAGAAATAGAGCATAGTGTCTTTTATGAAGTTTTTATCAACTCACTATCATATATCAGTTGCACCAGCAAAAGCGAGATATTTTTTCATATAATTAGGGAACATTTTCTCCTACATATTTATTAAAAGTCACATTTTAAACTTATTTAGGGCCAGCAAAAAGGCCAAACAACAGAACAAACAATAAGACCAGGGTGATATAAATAGTGTTGAGTGAAGTGTAGAGTGACGCCATTTTGTTTAATTTTATTGTAAAATCTTGATTTAGTGATTTAAGCATTTTTACCGCAGGGTTTAATGCCGTTTACCACACTTGTTACATAAGATACTATAATTATACTTTAAGTTCCTCCAAAACGGTTTCAAGGGAGTAGATTTGATTAGGTGGTATAGACATTATGACATTATTGTTCTGCAAGGGTATTAAGTAATTAGTTTATCTAAATGCTCACCTCGGTTGGAAATAAATGTGATTTACTTTAGAAAAGAAATTTAAACAAACGCTTAGGCAAGCATACAAACAGGTGTGGGATTTTCTCTCTATCTCAATAAAAAAAAATGCGGACCCACCTTTGTGAGAATTTAATTTTTTTATCGTGTTTATAGGTCAAATAATTATTGGAAACAATGGAAACAGACAATTATTGTAAATACGTGGTGGGTAGCTATTTGACATGCTAGTTGCGTTTTCAATTCAAAATTTTTGTGACTTCGTCCTACCGAACTATTGCTTAAACATATAAAATCCATGGTGTGCCTTCGATTTTAGGTTTCGTTCAGCATTTTTTAACACTCGCTAATGAAAACGTCAAAATAGTGGACAACGACTTTTACTTCGTCTCATTTGCCCAAACTTTGGAGAAAATTTTCAATAAAGGCATCATCAGGCAACAAAATACGAAATATTTCAACAGAACTATCGATCCTTACGTTTGGATGGTGAGTCTAGCTAAATCCAACGCCGAAGCAAACTTGACCTACTCAAGCTGCGTTGAAAACGTAAGAATTAGAAAAGACATTCAAAGTAACGATGGGAGGTTTAGGCTTCTGATAAAATATTGTTTGGCAAGGAGAATTGTGCATGTACCGGTGGAACTGTTGGTAAGTCTATTTGTGGTCTTTAGATAGGGTTGCTGATAGCATTTATTTCATGCTTATGGGAGAAGAATTAGCAATTCTAGTATTCTACGGTATTCAAATGGTTATTTTTTCCTTTAGAATGAAAAAATGCAACAATATTGAGTAAAACACATTTTAAAAAAATAACAAAGTGAAGTGCTACGAGGAATTATGGGATGCTCTGTAAAATAAAAACAAATTTCATTACATCCGACACGTTCATAAAAACAAATTTTGTTTAATATTTTTCGATAAAGCAAACTCTTTCTTAGAGAGACAAACTCACAGTAATCAAGAGCTACCATAACTAAACTAACAAACCTTGAATATTTATTTCATTTCTTTATATGTTATTTTATTCCCGGTAATAGTTAAATCCAGTGACATTTTGACCTTCATTATAGGTCCAATATATGAATTAAATCAGAAAACAGACGCTACCAAAATGTTTTATATATATTTTTTATTATATTACAATAGGTGTTAAAATGTTACAATAAAACAACTAACTTATATTAGTAGATAGTATTAGTTTTAGTAACAATTTTAAACAGCTCCATTTATTTTAGCAACTATCTAAAATAACTGGTATTTTATCCGGATAATTATTTCTAGGAATAAGAACTAAATGAAAATTTGCCAGTTAGTCACCAACAAGCAGTAGCGAAAATAGTATCAGTCAATAGGACTGTACAGGCTGGTCGTAATTGGAGTGCCTTAACAGAAAACACTTAATTGTGAACTAGATGTCAAGAGCTTGATTTTTGGGAAATATTTCATGGTTAAAACCGCATGGCGCTATCTTTACTTTCAACCGAGTTATACAGCGTTTTTCAATTTTCGGCTCTTTTGAAAAGTACCCATAACTTTTTTATTTACGAAAATTTTGGATTCTAATAAAAACATTATTAAGCCATTTTTTTTTCGTTTTCTCATAAATGAATACAACTTTCTCATTCTATATGTGATGAAAAAAGATGGAAATATAGGGCATTTTTGGTTTATGTACTAGTAGGCCGTCGATACTGTGTTCAACAAGAGGTCTTATAGAACCCTTTAAAATAATTTAATGAACATTATAAAACAATCAGGTCAATTTAAAGTAACTTAAGTGAAAAATACGAAATATATGAATGAATATTAATTTTAATTTTAGATATTATAATATAATCATAAATAAAACGCAATAAATATTAGAATGCAAAATATTAAAATTTAACCTTTTACATTATTTTTATTAAATTATTTTAACGTCAAATTGCCGCTCTCTTCAATACACTGAACGCACCTTTTTCGTACTGAATGGCAAATATTCACTAACTCTATAGGATTGATGGAAGCAAACGTTTCTCGAGTGACTTCCGCTAACTCTGCTTTGGTTTGGAAAATTCTTTCTTTAAATATAAGATCTTTTAATCTCCCCAATTAAAAGAAATCTACAATAGTTAGATCACACGATCTCGCAAGTTACGGAATGAGTTATCTAGTTCCAATCCAACATTATCCAAACTCTTCATTTAAACGTTGTGCGTTTTAGGTGGGGCAACGATAAAGCTGATAAAATAAATACTCTTTTCAAGAGTCAATGGCAAGCCTTCCGGACGTTGCGCTCCGCACTTCGGACATTTCCGGGATTTTGCCGCACGGGTTTGGGAACAATCGGGTGTTTTCGGAGATATTTCCCACGCCTTGAATTTTGACGTTTGTGAATTCTGACAGTCAGGTCAGTGAATGTATTCGTGTTGTTTTGCGAAAATGTACCCAAAAACTAACGGTCGTAGAAAAAGTATAGTATGCAACACGTTCGGCAAACTTTTTAACTTACTCGTTTATTAAACACTCGCTCCGCTCCTGCCAAATAAACTCGGGAGTCAAATGCCGCTTACCGCACTTGTTGCATAATATACTATAACCTATTACGGTATATTCAAAAGATAATAATAATCGTATCTGTTAAATGTTCTGACATTGCAAGGCCTACTAATATATAAACAAAAAATGCCCTATATTTCCTCCATTTTTCATCACAGATACCAACAAATCTCTATGGCTGAAAAGGGCTCGACACTGGCATTTTTTTAAGACCATAGCCAATTATGATTGATCTATTTTATAAGAAAGTTGTTTTCATTTGTGAGAAAACGGAGAACTGCAGAAAAAAATCTGATCACGCCACTGAATGTGCCTTAAAAAATGCCTCAATAATCATGTTACTAATTTTTTAAATAAAAAAGTTATGGGCAATTTTCAAATGGACCGAAAATTGGAAAACTCGCCATGCGGTTTTAACCAATAAATATTTGTCCAAAAATGAATCCTTGACATGTAAATCGATTTTGCTCTATCTAGTTCAGAAATATGGTTTTCCTATTAAAACACTTCAATTACGACCAGCACATGCAGGGAACTGTATATAAAAAAAATCATAAATATAATACTAAGAACACTAAAAAGTGTAACCGAAAAAAACTGTTTAATTAAAAACTACCTCACCAACATATTTCTCGTAATAAAATTAGGGCAAAATCAAAGTCTTAAAACTGACAGTTGACAACAACAACCGACATTAAAACTTTTTAAAACTGCTTAAAATTATAAGCTGATTTATATTTTGTCTTCATGTCAAAATAGCATATGTCTGTCTTATTTCCATTACGAATTTAAAAACCGCACCTTAAAGATCGGTTTTGTCTATAGACCAGAATTAATTTTAAGAGAAGGTTTAAGAGAAAAAGAAGGTTTTGATCTATATCTATAAAATATTGTTCCTGCTACTACTATACTACACTACTATACTATACTACTATATATACACAATTATGCCCTAATCAGGTGTGCGTAAACACTTTGCTATCCACTTCGAGCATTTCCTGTATTGTAGAAACAGTTTTGGAACTCCTTTAGACTAAAGTGTCGTTTTGATGCAGAATATACATTAGTCACGAGTTTGTTTAGGTGTGAGTGTACGAGTGCTCACTAAACGAGTGACAGAAGAAGTTGGAAAACTGTTGCAGACTTTATTTTTTCTACTATCATTAGTTTTGGGGTACATTTTTACAAAATAGCACGAATACATTCATTAAGTGACGTATGACGTGACTACCAGAACCAACAAACGATACAATACCGGCAATGTTTGAAATCTACCGAAAACTTCCGATCGCTCCCAACTCGTGACTAAAGTACCAGGAACGCTAGAAGTGGCTCGTGACAGTGTTTATCAATCATTTTATCAATTTTAGGTGAAAACTAGAGAGGTGCATTACTTGTATTCGACGGATTCAATCATCGGAGACGAAATATTATCGGAAATATTTCTGTCTGCATTGAAACCGGTCTCAAAAATACCATTCATTTTTAAATTAACCAACTCGTCGTTTTTAGACTGCACTTGGTATATCCCGAGAATATTGGATTTTGAGTTAGTACCGTGCAAAAATTTGGGAATCAGCGTGAGGTAACTACCCGATCAAATGGTAAAACGGGTTTCTAATGATGGCAATATATCCAAATAACTACAGACACGAAAATATCTCAGCTCCGCCTACATGGAAACTGTGAATTGAAGTCCCTCACTATATTAGTAATAATAATAAGTAATAACAAGTTTAAGGTGTTGTTTTTGCTCATTAACTTAATTCCAATTTTTGGACAATTTAAAAATTATATCAACACCGAAGAAATATTTTATAATTATACTTTATAATTACTACCTTTATAAAGTCCTAAAATTAAGAATATAACATCATAGTGAATAGTTATTTAATTATTTAGATAAAATAAAACAAATAAAATTTCAGAAGACAATTATATATTAATTATAATTTATTATAAATTATATCATAAATGATTTTTATGCGCTTAGAATATGACGTGTCCCTTGGATGTAAAGTCATTGTTTCCTTGATTAATATGAACAAATAAAAAACAAAAAGATATTGGTCACAGACTGCCTCGCGTTTCCATTGGAAAAACGAGGCATGCACTTAATTGGAGAAAGTATTAACGTATTATTGGCGCCAATCTGCGACCTCTGTTACGTTGGGTCAGCGATCGAGGCTGTAGTTTGATAAATTAAGTTTTATTGAAATATCCGATTGAGATTTTTTCGCTGTTAATAAACTTGAATTGGTTTGAATTTAATACGTTTTATAGATTGATTAGATGAGAGCAAATATTTACTTTACTAATCAACCACTGTATAATAGAAAAGTGATCAAGATTAAAAGGTAAAAAATTGAATGGTACAAGCAAATAACATTGCGAATGCTATCTCGGTACGAGTATTCCCTATAAAGTATGTCCCAGAAGACGACGATCAAACTTAAGGGAGAAGAAGAAGTCATTTAGAATCAAAATAACTTTAATTGTCTTTGTCTAATTGTTGTCCAAAAAATTTTAATTTTTGTTTTCTTTTTGGCTAAAATGTATGGTATTATTTTTAATCATGACAGATAAAAACGTGGATTTAAAAAAATATTTATTTTCAAAAAAATGACATTTTTGCCATCAGAAAAAAATTATGTAATATACTGTATTCCAAACATTATTTAATATATGAGAATGTTTTTGTTTTTTATTGTAAAACACTTTTCTGTTGACATTTCGAATTTGAGAAGTGAGAATATTTTTTTTGTGTGTTAACCTTAAGGTTATTAATTAAACTGAACTTTCAAGAATGTTTGCCTCCTAACTTCAAAAAAATTTTCAAATTAAAGTGTATAAGATTGAAAATATTCTATCTTCGAAATATTAGAATATTTTCTTACTCTAAAACACCCAACTTAAAGACTCCTGCTTCATTTTTAATTATCGAGAGCAACTTCTGGTGTTTGCGGTACTTTGGTTACGGGCTTGCCAGCGATCGTATGTTTGCGGTAGATTTTAACTATGGTATTTTGACGTTTGTCGGTTCTAATGGTCGTAGAAAATCTAATGGCGTTAATCAAACTTTTTGCATAATATACTGTTAAATTTAGAACACTTTAAATAAACATTTAACGTTGGGTACATTTTTTTATGGCGGGTGAGTTTTCTAGAGGAAAATGTCATTGCATCCGTTATAGTATATTATGTAACAAGTTTGAGTATCGTGGCTTTGGTCACGAATTTGATTTGACACGATCTAAGCGAATGCACAATGAACGAGTCACTGAAGAAGTTTATCCTATTCCATACTTTTTCAACAACCATTTACTGCGTGACGCCTACCGAAAACACCCGATCGTTTCCAGTCCGGCAACTAAAGTACCGAAAATGCCCGAAGGGGCTGACAACAGTGTTTAGCAAAGCTGACTTCTGAAAGTGACAGTTGATCAGCGTGTTATTTATACAGGGTTATTCACCTATCTTGATATACTATAAGAACTATATACTTTTTAAGAAATTTGGCAACACATAATCCGATATAAAATAATAATTTTTTTCGCAAGCCGTACAGTTAAACACTTGAATTTTTGGGTGCTGTTATCTATTAAATTGCTTTATCATAATATATATATATATATATATATATATATATATATATATATATATATATATATATATATATATATATATATATATATATATATATATATATATATATATATATATATATATATATATATATATCACGTACAGGACGTCCATTAAATAAAGTCCGATTGGCAAGATATAAAAATCCATGTTACGTAGGAATTTTAAATGATAAAATTTGCTCTCTAAAAGTACCAAACTATGGTATATATATTTCAACTGTTTTTTGAGTTATAAGCAAAACACCAAAAAGTCTACATGAATTCGGCTTTCTTGTTTTATCGCATTTTCATAGTTAAAAGTTGTATTTATTTGAGAAAGCAAGATGGCACATAATTATGCAAACGCAGATATTTTGAATTTGTTTTACATTTGTGGTGAGTGACAAAGAATTGTTTCAGGAACGTGCAGAAGATTTAATATGAGACAGGCTTTTCAACAACTAGATCCAAACGAAATTCAAAGGGCACCAGTTTTCATTGTTATGAAGTCAATGAAGTTTAGCGGTACGGGTTGCGAAAAAAATTTGTTGTTGCAAATTTCTTAAAAAGTATTTTTTATCTGCGAAAATGGTCAAGATAGGTAGGGTACATGTTACATACAAAAGTTCCAGAATATTTCGCAGAATCTAAAAATTTAATAATATATAGGGTGTTTTATTTAAAAAACGAAAGTTGATATGCGTTACGAGTATATCTGGCAACTCCGCACGGCCAAAAATATTTTACATAGGTAGCTCATATTCGCTTACATAAGTAACCAGCATTTCGGGATTCTACTGTAAATCATTCTCCATAAAATTCTAACACAACGCTCACCGTGAATAACCCTGTATATTTATTTATTTAAAATCTTTATTGTAAACTTTACAAATGGCGAAGTTTAGTCTTACGATTGCTCATACTTAACCATCTATGACATTTTACCTTAATACAAAAAACTTTAATTTTAACAAGCCATATTAATGTGAAGATTTGCGTTAGAATTTTATTAATTATTAATTAAGAATAGAAGCCTACTACCGCACTGTGGATATCTGAGCCGCGAGCAAATAGCCTTTGAGCTCTACACGAAAGCTTGTCGAGGGTTAAATTTTGAAGAAAAGGCTGAACATTAATATACATTACAATAGCGGTATAAATAAAGCTACACCGATGTCATGTGGATTTGAAAAATTGTTAAAGTTCCGTAGATGGCGCTGACTTCTGTGTGCTGTTTATATAGTGGGGTGCAGAAGTAAGAAGTAATTTACTAACAAATACCGTCAGGTGATACTGATAAATGTTTTCAGTTCAGAGCCAACCAGTGGAGTTAATTTTTTTGGACACCATATTTTCTAAGCCTGAAAATAAACCTAGAATAATCATAATGAAGCTTTTATAACCGATTCTTGTACTATATTGACATAATTTAATAAGGACAAGACTAAGGATTGGATACTTTAGAGTGGGGAGTGTTTAAAAATTTAACAAACTGTTTCACATCACATCACATCCTCAAGAATGAAGTGTAAACCAAAATAATAACTGTACGGCTTGCGAAAAAATTTATTATTTTATATCGGATTGTGTGTTGCCAAATTTCTTAAAAAGTATATAGTTCTTATAGTATATAAAGATAGGTATGGTACATGTTACATAAAAAAGTTCCAGAATGCTTAGCAGAATCTAAAAATTTAATAATATACAGGGTGTTCCATTTATAAAACGAAAGTTGATATACTTTACGAGAATATTTGGGAACACCGAATGGCGAAATATATTTTACCGTAACTGATTCTCTATAAATGTCTAATAGGAGACCCACCATGAATAACCCTGTATAAATAACACGCTGATCAACTGTCACTTTCAGCAGTCAGCTTTGCTAAACACTGTTGTCCAGCCCCTTCGGGCATTTTCGGTACTTTAGTTACGGGACTGGAAACGATCGGGTGTTTTCGGCAGGCGTCACGCAGTAAATGGTCGTTGAAAAAGTATGGAATAGGATAAACTTCTTCAGTGACTCGTTGTTCATTGTGCTCATTGCGCTTAGCTCGTGTCAAATCAAATCCGTGACCAAAGTCACGATTATCAAACTTGTTGCATAATATACTATAACGGATGCAATGACATTTTCCTCTAGAAAACTCACCTGCCATCAAAAAAACGTGTGGAATTACTATCTGTAGATTACTTAGTTCTTACAAAATACTTTCAAAAACACAAAAAAAATAAAAATAGATTTTTTTATGCATCACTACTAACGTTTCAATAAACATTTAATGTACCCAACGTTAAATGTTTCTTTAAAGTGTTCTAAATTTAACAATATATTATGCAAAAAGTTTGATTAACGCCATAAGCTTTTCTACGACCATTAGAAGCGACCCGACAAACGTCAAAATACCATAGTTAAAATCTACCGCAAACATACGATCGCTGGCAAGCCAGTGACCAAAGTACTGGAAACATCAGAAGTTGCTCGCGGTAATTAAAAATGAAGCAGGAGTCTTTAAGTTGGGTGTTTTAGAGTAAAAAAATATTCTAATATTTCGAAGATAGAATATTTTCAATCTTATGCACTTTAATTTGAAAATTTTTTTAGGCTAGGAGGCAAACATTTTTGAAAGTTCAGTTTATTTAATAACCTTAAGGTTAACACAAAAAAATGTATTCTCACTTCTCAAATTGGAAATGTCAACAGAAAAGTGTTTTAAAAAAACATTCTCATATATTAAATAATGTTTGGATTAGAGTGTATTATATAATTTTTTTCTGATGGCGAAAATGTTATTTTTTTGAAAATAAATATTCTTTTTAAATCCACGTTTTTATCTGTTATAATTAAAAATAATACCATACATTTTAACCAAAAAGATTCTAAATGTATTCCGCTTCCCCCTCCGAATTTTGATCATCGACTGCTGCGTCATATATATATATATATATATATATATATATATATATATATATATATATATATATATATATATATATATATATATATAATTCCAGTTTTTCGCAAGAAAGGGCCGTTATAGTCGACGTCCAGCCAAACAGCGTCGCCGCCGAATATGTAATAAACTCTAACATGTTCACTAAAATTTAAACTAACACACAGTGATTGTAGGCAGGCATCAAGATCGGTGACGTCTTAGACAAATTGAATGGAATTCAGATTGACTCGTCAACAAAAGGTCGTTTAGGAGAAATTATGAAACGCAATAAAAGCAAACCGGTATCTATAAAAATCGTCAAAGCTTACGATACGGATTCCAACTCCATTTTCGAACCAATAGAGAAACTGTTTAAAGAGTTGAAAATTGATGTTGCACTGGTGAAGAGGCAATACTGTGATAATAAAATCGAGAAAACTACCACTTCTTCATCCAGGTAAATTGTATTTTTTGTTTTATTTAATTAAGCGTATTTCTTTATCAATAAAATGTCGGTACTTCTATTCACATGCGGATCTCATAAAATGAAAATGTTATAAACGTACATGAAAATAATATAAAAAACTCTTCATTCGAAGCTGTGGTGGGTATCTGGAAATAATCTAGTATATTCAGATGAGTAATCAAACAGGTAGATATAGATAATCTATAATAAAAAATCTGTATATCTATTGCGTTTGTTGGCTATTTCTTCCGAACTTATAACAGAACGCACTTTAATACTACAAAACTTAATATTCATTCTCTAAATGTTCGATATTATATAAGGTAAGCCGTTTATCTTGGGACATCACACCTTATCTGAGGAACTATAGGGGATACAGCCAAAAGTTAAATACAAAACTTAATTAGGGTATTACAAACCTTCAATTTATTTTAATGTTGTATATACAGGGTGTTTCACACCTGGTATATTGCTTCATTTTTGAATTTTATACAAAATTCTAGAAATATTTTGTGCATAACGTTCTATACCTAAGGCTAACCGTTTTAGACATTTTTAATTTTTCATGTGAAAAATGACGTTTGCAAGACGTAAAATATCTGCCAGTTTCTTCGATCGGAAGCCTTTATTGTTTCACTTGAGTAAGTTTTCTTATAGACAAAGGACTCGAATAACTGATTTCATAAGAAATTTCGATACATATTAATACAAGGTACGCGAAAATTAAGATTAAAAATGAAATAAAAAATGCTAATAAACTTTTTTTTTAATTGAAACTACCTATTTTTATAACCTTGTTATATTTAGCATTAAAAATAAACTCAATTGTATAATATGTATTTATTTATATATGCCGAATATTTTAACTTTTTGAAATATTTCCTTTTAAACATTTGTCTATCGCAAATAATATGCTGTTGCCATATAAGTTCAGTTAGTGTAAGGTGGCTTTGACAGCGTTTAAACAAAAAAAGTGCTAGAACGCTGCCTCCTTGAACTTGGGTTGATTACTCTCATAATTCAAATATTTTTTGAGACATTACTCATTTATTTATTTATTGTTTATAAATTTAATTTTTTGGCTTGCTTGCGTATCCTGTTTAACACAGAGGAAAATATATGTTAGAAAGTTACATATCGGCTGGCTCTTAAGGAGACGCCAAAAAAAAAAAAAATTACCAACACTTTAGAATATATGGAATCTTAAAGAAAGAAAAAGATAGACGTTGCCTTATTTTGAATGAACCTAATATTTTGTTGTATTTTGTAGAGACCCCTGAATATTCTACCCGAAATGCTTCTTTAGATCTAGATATGAAAAGAACATCGCTTCGCACGTTCCTTCAAATAAACAACAGGAAGTCCTATAAATTCACTCCAGTGCAGAAATTAGAGCAACGGGATTATAAAATCAGGTTAGATTTTTGCAACAATCTTGTTGAGAGACTTTTCAGAAAATATATTTGCTAATATTATTTGGACAGATGACTAAAATTTTTATTTGGAAAAATATCCATTACTGGAGCAGTAAAAATAATTAAAAACGTACGGAAGTTACAAGATCAGGTAGAACTTCTGTCAAAGTATGGTGCTCCATCTGGAGGTTCTGAATATTTTTTGACTAGAATTTAAATTCCCAAGGCTACCAAGAGCTTTTAAATATTATCCATCCTGTTCTTGAAAATGAAGTGCTTGAAAAGGGACAACGAAATTTAATTTCGCAGCAAGATGGCGCTCCTTATCACAGAAGTCAAGCATTTAGCACCTATATAAATGCACGCTATAGAGAATCAATAGGGGAGAATCGTCGTTGCGCTTGGCCTCCCAAGGAGCCCTGACTTAACTGCCCTAGATTTTTTTCTATGGAAATATTTAGTTTTCAAACACAAACCATCAACGGATATATAAATGGGACTGAACCTTTTATACTACCCTTTATACTACTGATATTGCCCAAAGTGGAGGATATATTGAACAACTGTTACAACAGTTATTATCCTTTGTAAGCTATTAATTTTTTATTGATAGTTCGTTAATAAAATATTCACCAACGTTATCGGGTATTCTTAGTCTTATTCTATATAAATAATGCATACATACATTTCGATCTTCATAAGCGCATCGGTAAGATTATGGTCAACCATGAAATGGTAAATCATTGTGGCAGAACTTTAGCACTTGTTTTGTTTAAACACCGTCATAGCCACCTTACACTAATTGAACCTATATTGCAACAGCATATTATTTGTGTCTAAAAGGGAATATTTCAAAAAGTAAAAATATTAGGCATATACAACATTATACAAAATTGCCCTAAGTTTTAATGCTAAATATGACAAGATTATAAAAATAGGTAGTTTCCGTTAAAAAAAAGTTTTTTGGCAGTTTTTTTAATTTCATTTTTAATATTATTTTTCGCGTACCCTCTATTAATATAAAGGGTGATTCAATAAGGGTTTCCACATTAAAATAATAAAAAAAAACTCGGAAGAATATAAAAATATACAAACATTTTTATCTGCCATTTTGGATTAGTGTATTACAATTAGGTATGAAAGATGATGTCATTCAAATGACTCCCGCGACTCATGTGGCATGACGTAATTCGTTTATTGAAATTTCCTATCACTTTTTGACACAATTCAGGTCCTATGCCGGCTATTTCGCGTCTAATCTCCTGTTACAGCTATGGAATAATTTTTGGTTTATTTCTATACACTCTGCTTTTTAGATACCCCACAAAAAAAATCTAGGGGAGTAGGATCACATGATCGCGGCGGCCAATTGATATCGCCGTTATGTGCGATAATCCGACCAGGAAACTTGCCCCGCAGCAATTGCATCGTTTCTCTGGATGTGCGACAAGTGGCTCCATCCTGTTGGAACCACAAATCTTCAATGTCCATACCTTCCAATTGCTGCCAGAAAAAATCAGATATCATGTTTCGATAGCGAACACCATTAACCGTAACAGCGCTCTCCGCATTATCCTAAAAAAAGGGCCATTTATTCCTCCGCACCAAAATGCGCATCAAACAGTCACTTTTTGAGGATGCATTGCTTTTTGAACAATCTCTCTTAGATTTTCTAATCCCCAAATACGAGTATTGTGTTTGTTTACAAAGCCACCAACGTGAAAATGTGCCTCATCGCTAAAGATGATTTTCGTTGAAAAATGAACCCCTTGTTCTCGTATCCATTCTGCAAACACGCGGCGCTGTTGATCGCGAGGTTTCAACTCCTGAGTTATTTGGACTTTATATGGGTGTAGATGCAAGTCTTTTGTTAAAATTCGCTGTGTGGTTGAATACGTAAGGCCCACTTGCTGCGATCGATGACGAATCGATGTGTTTGGATCTTCGGCTACTCTTTCGCGAACAATGGCAATATTTTGATCTGACCCATCTGCACGAGCACGTTGACGGACTTTGAGGTTAGTTACAGATCCAGTTTGCTCAAATTTTTGAACCACATTCCAAATTGTCCTCTCAGAAGGTAGATTTTGCGCGCCGAAAATTCACGTATAGCCTGAAATGCATTTTTTCTTGATCGACTATTTTCATAATAGGCTTGCACAATTTTTACACGTTGTTCAGTCGTATATTGCTCCATGACTAATTTTGTTTATGTTTTGAGGTTGGAAATCTCATATGATAATAAACAAATACGGTGGCGTTTCAAAAATATTTCAGATTGTAATGTGGAAACTCTTATTGAATCACCCGTTATATATCGAAATTTGTTATGAAATCCATCTATCCGAGTCCATTTTTCACATAAAAAATTAAAAATGTCTAAAACGGTTAGCCTTAGGTATAGAACGTTATGCACAAAATATTTCTAGAATTTTGTATAAAATTCAAAAATGAAGCAATATACCAGGTGTTCTGTTTAAAATAAGAAAGTTGATACTCGCTCACGAAAAATTAAACACCCTGTATATACAAAATTAAAATAAATTAAAGGTTAGTAACATCTCAATTAACATTTGTACTTAACTTTTGTCTCCACCCCCATAGTTTCGGAGATATGGGGGTGGCCCAAGATAAACGGCCCACCCTATACAAAATGTGGATTGAAATTTACATTGTCAACGAGACCGAGCTGTTTTTAGTTTAATGGTCAACCGAGCGATGTTATACAGTATTCAAACTTTATCGAATACCTTCATTTCTAGCGTATCTGGGTTTGCAGTTAAGTACTTGGCAAAGATGTGCGTTGGGTCATTGGGCAGCGTTAGACAAATTCAAAAGGCATTAAAGTGTTTAAAAGACAACCGATCGTTCGATGATATAACAACGATCGAAAGATTTGCGGTGAACGTCGGACTAGAAATCGGCGAAATGGGACTTAAATTGAGAGACAAGGAAAAAGCAGAAGTAAGTGTTTACATTTGATTAGCATTTTTGCAACAACTTTGACTTTACAAACACTTTATTCCTACAATCAATGATTGACACGTATTTTGAGGCATCTGGGAATGATTGAGTTTCAATCTCAAGCCTTCTGGCCTATTGCGTTTCGATTTAAAATAAAAATATTAACTATCAACTATCAAAACTTATCAGATTATTACACGGATAGTTTCTTGTAAATGTCTGTTTAGGGTTTTATCTAGTGTTTCGTCACATTCTTAGATATGTTTCAAATTAAAATTCTTAACCAAACCTTTCATAATATCAGATAAGCTGACTACAGTTCACAGGAGTACTATTGATTACATTTTTAATTGTCTTTAACTCCACTTGGTTTATCTTCTAATTCCAATTATCTCAATTTTTTCCAAATATCTAATTTTTTAAAAAATTATTAAAAAAAAAACAGAAATAAAAACGTAATTTTAAATAGAAGACCTTGTGGACCGATGTCTCAAGGGATTCTTTTTGTTAAAAACGATTTTGTTTTTATTTGCCACTAGCCGAATAAAGAACGAATGTAAAATCAAATAAGGATAAATATATGAAAAAGGAAGAAATAAGAATTAGAATTTTAGTGTACCAAATCGATTTCATTACTTTAAAATATAAATGTATTACTTTATTTTATATCCACTATGTGCCGGTTTACGACTAAGCGGAACAAACAGATGCAAAATACGAACTCATGTCGAATAAAAAAAAACTGACACTTTAAGCAGCCTGCCGTGTTTCCCGGGAGTTCGTGTTTTGTTATTTTGAGTCCCACTCCAAAGCGGTAAAATCAAAAGCAAAAAGCTAGATCTGATAGACAACATATGAGGGCTCTTTTGGATTCTGCACCCAAAAATTACCTAATCACAGATATCAAAATGTTTTCGGAAGTTTAAGAATGTCTAACAATCGTAATAAAATTGTCCCGTAGGTTGTTCTGGAACATTCGTACATGAAAATATCTGCTTGCGGGAATATACCGTCTATGCCAAAGCTGTTCGGTTACTGCGCCGGGTGAAGACGATGAACGTTCCTTTTGTGAATATGACTTTTGACCCGGATTGTTTCAGAGAAGAAAATTGCGACGTTGCCGACAGATTTTGTTGTTATATTTTCGAAGCCTCTACCAACGAACACTCCGAGACGATCTTGCAAAGCATAGGTAGGAAGAACGTAACCGACGTTTTTTGGGAGACATTGTTTTTTTCTGATGTTTTAGGACAAGGATTTCATAGGACTCATTATGCAGTTTAATTGTATACTTGAATCTTGATGATACTATTCGTTTACATTTGTATCGTTTTATTTAGCTGAGAAATGTACATTGAAAATTATTGTATTAATTTATGACATGGTGGAAGTCAATGGAAGCTGGCTGAATGGGTTAAACTTCAGATCAAGTTTTATAAATACACTTTTTACTTTGCTGACTACTATTAAATAATATTACACCATTGCGTCATAAAGATTTAAGATTAACAGTCTCGGTGAACTACAGTGAATTACAGATGTTATAAAATATACAATGATAAAATATATATCAAACTTAACACATGTTTTTCTGTTAGTACGCGCGATAATGCTTTTAGTATGGCAAACACTCTAGCTTTGGTACCCAAAAAATACAAAATTGCATCCCGGAAAAATGCAGTATTTATGACATATTAAAAAATTGCATCCTTTTACCAAAGCAAAAGCTTTACCCTTCCATCATTCAAACATCAACAGGGTTATTTTTTAGATTTGCGTACCCACCTACAGTGGTTGACGGAAATCACCGATCACCGATAAAAACTTTTAATACGAACGTTGTATAATTTTTGCACTATTATTTTTTAGACTTGTAAAAGAAACAAATGCTCATCGCAAAGTTGGGAAACGGTCGCAAGTTTTTAATTATTAAATGGAACACCTTATACATTTTCCGTTACGACGAAAGATCTTTTTCTCCTGATTCAAGATTGTTGATATTTGGATAAGCCATTCTTGAATTATTTAAGTTTAAATTTTTGATTAACTAAATAGATGTTGATCGAGTTGCCCAGGCGTTCAGGGTCGCTTTACTTTAAATCGAACCATAGTTAGGAAAATGGTTTACTGAGAAAAACTTCATGTAGTTCGTCTTTTTTATTCCAATAACAATAGAACAGCTGCAGTTCAACGGTTACCGTCAGATGACACAATCAAACGCGTTATTCGTAATCCGCAATTTAATGAAACCAAAAGTCTGAGTCTAACCGTTATTAGAAATGAAGAAGAAGAATGAATAATAATTAATAATAATATTAATTGCATATAATTTTTTAGAAAATCTCGAAAGTTCAATCTCAATTGTTGCTGCACAATTGGGAATGTCACGTCACCAGATTCAGTCATCTTTAAAATATTATAAATATAAACCCTATACATTTATTCCGGTTCAAGGCTTATCTGAAGGAAATAATATTCAAAGGTTACAAATATTGTCAAGAAATGTCGAGGTGTATAAAATCTCGATTTTTTTGGGAAAAATTCACGACGGCAGGAATGTTTAATCGGATCAAAAGCATTATTGGGTAAATGAAAACCCACATAAAATTCAACCAGTAAAAATACAGGGTCGTAGATCTGTTCCTGTGTGGTGTATCATACCAGCCAACCAAATAATCGGACCGATTTGTCTTGATGGATCTCTGACCTGACGGGAATATTATTTAGAAGGCATTCCAGTTCGCCAACCCCCTTCCTGTTTGGCAACATGATGGGCACTGACCGGATTTAAACCCTGTTGATATTTTTCCATGAGGATTTAAAACACCGAGTATACAATGACAGACCTTGAGCCAAAGAATTGAAGAAGACATATTCATGCTCAATAAGGATCCAGACTTTATTTTGAATGCAATTCATGAAAAAATGAGAGATAATATTACATAATGTTTTTAAAATCGTGGTTGATATATAAAAAACCCGGCCATTTTCTTTACGTTATATTTTCATTATTGTTCGTTTATTTATCGTTGTTATCGGTTTTATTATAGTTTGAGATTATGTTCTTTAGAGTTTTTGGTATTATCGGTTAATTAATTGAAAAAAAAAAGACGAACTACTTAAAGCTTTTCATTCAAGAACGGCTTATCGTAATATCAACAATCTATACATTTTTAAAATCAGCAGAAAAAGATCTTTCCTCATAACAAATTATATATTATATATTTACAAATAAACTCGCTACTGCTTGCTTGTTACAAGTCTAAAAGATAATATTGCAACAATTGTACAACTTTTTTATTAAAAGTTTTTCTCGGTGACTTCCACTCCTGTAGGTGTAGGCAAATATAAAAAATAACTCTGAGCAATTATTGAAATAAAGTCTGTTAAGTGAACAGTTTCTGAAATGAAAGTGCTTCATTAGAAATTTGATATGAACATTCATCGTGGTTTTTGTTGCAAATAAACTCGTATATATTTTTAGTTCTTTCCATTCCGAATTAAAAATTTTAGGTTTTGGACGCCTTATTTTGTTTGAATTCTGCTTCTTCGGGAAAAGCTTTGAAGCAGAAACTAAATATCCAGCGTTATGTCCTAAAATCTTATATAATGGTTTAAATATAAGTAAATATTTTTGCCTACCTGCAAAAACCTTTTTTTTAAGTAGTGCGGGAACGGGCCTTAATCCTCATTAATAGGACAAGAATTGAACTGACTTGTGCAATATTTTTAGTTATCAAAATGTCGCCCATGCATGCTCAAATTATGAAGTGTGCACTTGACCAATTCGCAGAAAATATATCACATTTTCCTTACCTATATATGTGACAACTCTGAGCATAAACCGTCTTTACTAACTTTACTAACATACTTTGTTGCAAGTATAAGGTATTAATCGTTTGTACATTACAAACTGTATAGTATTAGATAACACTATTATTACCCTACATAAAAAAGTGGGGTTTTGTTGGCAGTCGAGCTAAGTTAACAATCTTAATCTATAGCTTTGATATCCATTTCAAAAGTTTAACCATCAAAATTGGAAACACCACACCTCGGTGAAAGCTGCTGATGGATTTACGTTTTGTTGACTAGACCATCTTGGGAATTCGCATCGCTGTTGGAATTACATCCAGTCGAGCAATCGCATGGACTTTGGCAGGTGCTGCAGCTAGTGTCGCTGCATAGGCTCGTGTTCTTGGTTTCGCAAATGTCGATGAATTTTTCTGCCATCGCTCTATCAAGACCGGTGTAAGTCATCACCACTTCCTGTTCTGGCATCTGTCGTTCTGCGGATAGGGATTTCGATCTTGATCTTCTCGAAGTGGGCTCTTTGCTCCTCTCCCTGCTCCTGGATTTCGATTTCGACACGGATTTGTACCGTTTGTGAACTCTGATCATCTGCTAACAAAATTAAAATCAATTTATTTATTTCCAACCGAGGAGCAAAACTTTTCTGGATATGAAAGGGAGAACGTCTAGTTATCACTACAGTGGTTCAATATATTCAGGGGCCTATTAGTGATTCGGTATTACCTGATATTTCTGCAGCAACCTGAAGGATTTTATAAAACAAAAATATAGACTTACTGTCTACGCGGGAAAATTTAACTGTACAAAGGGCGCAAAGGTGACTTGAATACTTACTTTTCTATTTGGCAGTGAAGTTACGATTGGTGACGGTACAGGTCCTAATGGGGCTGGAATCATTGGATAACTTACTATTTGTGGTTGAACCATGGGGGCGGGATACGCGTACATCGGCATAGGCAAACCTCCAGATAACTGAAATGGTAAACAAAGGCTAAAAAATATGCTTGGCTTTGAAAATCAAAATTCCGCGGCATAATTTTTATCCTCAAAGCAAATAAAAAACTGGCATACGGTGTTTCTAACAGTGCCAGTGTATTTTTTCATTGAGTTTGATTTCAAAAATATTTGTAATTAGTGGATAACAGTTAATGATTTTTTTAATTCAAATTTAAAATCACAATGTCATAATAATGAAGCATATATAATATATAATAATCAATAATAATGTTGAAATCAACGTCGAGAGCGCAAATAGTTGGACTTATTGGCAAATATATCAACAATCTATACTCGATTCATTGATTACCAATGAATTTTTGTTGTTGTAAATTTGAAGTTTAGCATTTCGTTTCTATTGTAATGACCATATAGAGAAATGTATACATTGTTCAATGAAACAGAGATGTTGAATGTTACATTATTAAAGAAGTGACAAAATGATAGTGGATACTCAAGAAATGAAAAAAACATTAAACATTATCATTTTGGGCATCCATTTTCAAATTAATTTCAAGACACTCCTTTATCGAAATATCAAAAGGTAGTTTTCAAATCTCCAAAAACCCCCCAGTGAGGTACAGTAATTCATATTTTAGCTTAGGATAGAGATATTGGGATGCGGTGCCACTGGGTTATTGACATTGATATAAACAAATCATATCGTTGCATTGTTTTTGCAGAAAATGATATTTTTGGGAAAAGGGGGACCTTTTAATATAAATAAAAAAAGGATTTTTAAAGACTATTGTTGATCGTCCTGCTTCTTAACGGATACTGGTTAAATCAACAAATTTCGAAAGCAAAAACAGTAATGGTTTTGTTTATTAATACAAATTTGAAGTGCCACATTCTCAATAAAAAAGTTTAAGTATTTATTCTACAAATCAATTTTCTAAGACCATGTTAAACTGAGCAACTTTTATTAACGAGATGCTATAGTCTCCAACAAATCTTCTTTATAGGAAAAAAGTTAACGACATTCGCTTGGCTTAAGTCTACATGGTTTGTCGCTATATTTATCAGAATAAACTTTAAACTCAATCAATCTAGAAATGAATTTTATAAAAATAATTTTGACCTACGTTATATAATATGTAGCCTTTTTAACTAAGATTGATTACTATAAGAAGTAGATTTAAGAACGAAATTCCCAAATTTGTATTTGATAGTCGACAACTTTTATTACCCTTTGTTTTGAGTAGTTGAATGTACTTCCTTAAGTTCGATTATATAATTGGGGAGTATAAAATCATTGTTTTAAGAAAGAAGATCTGGGTTAGTAGAAACCTAAATACAACAAAAAATTAAATATAAGCAAAACTTATTGGAGATCAATATTAAACTGAGGGAAAGATCAATATAAGTAAATAAATAAATTACGAACTCTGCCGAATTTGTGGGATCATCTGCATCCTTAATATTGTACCTCGTTGTCATTATTAGGACATTCGATTAATTACGAGTAATTTCACTATGAAGTGAACTTTACTCATGTAAAGTTTGATAATTGGATTGCGATAGTTTTTCGATAACGGCTTCTGGAATCGAAAAACTAACTTGATTGGAACAACGCCTTACAACGATCGATAGATTAGACGTGGCGGAAAAATCTCGGTCTCAGCCACAAAAAAGAGTCACATTCCGAGTGCTTAGGAAAAAAAAACGCAACAAAGGAAAAGGGAAGTGATTTCAATGCCGCCTCGCATTTAGTAAATGCAAATGGCAAACGGGATGGGCTAAGCGTTTTGTTGCGGCAGAAGGAAATATGCATTAAACGTGTAAAACATATGTCACACCGTGTGATTCTGAAAGTGAAAGAAGCAAACAACGGGCAGGTGTGTGTGTATTGTCTACGGACAGCGTCGCAGAAACATTCTGTATAGCGTGAATATCACGTTGCCGATGGCGTGTAGGGGAACGTTCTTTCAAATATGCGATTCTTTGTAAACACTTTCACTTCTTTGATTTTACGCGTTTTGTTTGCCGGGCGATACAATCAAAAGGTCTTTTGACTCCCGTTCTGATATCCCAGAAAAACTAATCATTCTTACTATTTAAGTTAAGTTAAGCTTTGAAGAAGCCTGTGGAAGTTTCCTTGAAAAATGAATCATTCTTCACACAAATTTGTTTTTTACTTTGTATGGTCCAATCGATCAATTTTATATATAAAAAATAAAATATATTTAAGACTCTGCTTGCGGTTAAAATTCGTTATTATTCAACGATCAGCTAATACCCGTCAACAGCGATTACTAATTACTACTAACTTGAATATCTATATCTATCTATTAAAGAATCCAAAGTACTGAATTGGTCTAATGTCTCTAAGCGAGATCTCTGGTTAAGGTTCCTTGAATATGACGCAGAATAAGTTTTTGTGAACTGTTTACTAGAGAAGTTATGTATTATGAACTAATATTTGTGTTACTTTGTGGAATTATACAATCTCATCATTGGAGCGAGATTAGTGTAAATCTGCCTTATTGTTATATTATTATATAGTATTCTTCAATTATAAAATTATGAAGTGAAAATAAGTTTTTCTATTGTTTACATGTATGTATGTATGGTTATTCAGTTCTGATCAATTGTTACATCATTTTACAGCATGTTTTACTTTTTATTTTTTAATTGCTGTTTTTTTGCATTTTTCCTTAGATTAAACAATTTTTGTAAGGTTTGCTGTTTTCTTTCGTTAACAACCACAACTTCAAACATCATTTTACAGCATGTTTTACTTTTTAGATTAAACAATTTTTTTTAAGGATTGCTGTTTTCTTTCACCTACTTTCGTTAACAACAATAACAACAACTTCAGACATCATTTTGCAGCATGTTTTACTTTTTATTTTTTAATTGCTGTTTTTTTTTAAATTTTCTCTTAGATTAAACAATTTTTTTTAAGGTTTGCTGTTTTCTTTCATCTACCTTCGTTGACAACAACAACAAGTTCAAATAATAAACGAAATATATTTTCAGAATAAATATTAGAATTCTGATGTATTAAATTTTTTACTCTATTTCTCACTCCAAAATTCTCAACGATACACTGATCAGTAGTGCGCAATGTGTTACTTTAAATCATTCTTCATTAAACATTGTCGGAAACGCTATTTATTATTTGCAGTTTGTATCGTTTCTCTTAATTTGATAATTTAGTTTTTTGCATGGGTGTGCAAGTGTTGGAAGTCGACCTTCTCTACTATTTTCATATATCTTCATTCTTTGTGATTATTTCATAAACTTAAAATATTAAGATGAAGAACTTAACAAGATGTACTTACACTGATATAATTCAATAAGTTTTTTCATTCGTGGCAATTTTCATGCACCCAGCGGTCGAACCTTTTTGCTATTTCGGCAATTTAAATATTTTTTAAATTTAGTTTTGAACCGTTATTTATTGCTATAGTTATAGAAATTTTATTTATTTCACATAATGCTTATAGAAATTGCGGGCCTCCTGGCAATCATACTTACGGCAGACATGTATAATATTATTGCAATTTAATACGGGTATACCAAAACTAATTAATACTATCCCCGCTTTAAATGTGGCTAATTATTAACGAAATTTTTGTATAGTATAATTAATTATTCAAATATGAGCAAGTGCGTGCTTTGAAATCCCTCCGAACATGGTCCTAAGTTTGAGCAAGGTTTAAGCGCCATACGTGGGAAGTGATTATATCGTATTTTCGCAACTGATTGTTTTTTAAGCATCCGAACTGCATTCGGCAAATCATTTTCACTTTCGGCCAAACAAAGTACGACGATGTAATGCATAAGCATACAGTGAAAGCTTATTAGAACGGAAAATTAGTTTCGGCAGCATAATAAATTTGCGGCTTGCCGTTTTAGATTTTCGAGTCATTGTGAAAAACGGGGTTGACAGTTAAATTTTTTTCTGCTCTTGTTGGTGTTTGTCTGTGCACTGGGCCTTATAATAACAAATAAAATAGCAGTTTAAAGCAAATGCAACATTAAACATGATGGACATGATCAAATTAATAAAAATCTGGGTATCTGAATATGTGAAACTCTTTCCACAATAAATTAGCAACAATGTATTAAAATTCAAAATATGTAGCTATTATTATTAATTTTAAAAATGTTTAATTGTTTATATACAACATCTACAAAGAGTTATAAAATAAATAAATAAACAGTGATAAATAAAGTATATATATATTTTGACCTCAAGGATTTTATCAATAAAAATTCACAGAAACTTAATAAAGTGTGAACTAATTATTTTATCTATCATATATTGATTGAGTCACGGTGTCTATTGGTCTAGATTAAAGGATGATTTTAATATACAAAATAAGCATTTGTTTGCTGCACAATAAAGATGTTTCCTCCTAGGTGGTAATGTGTATGTCAGGACCTAGTAATTATTAATATATGAACAATAATGTAACGCCACTGTCTCAAAATAAACATCAAGTCCAAATGTAAATCTTTAGCTTGGGTTCATTTGACGTTTTCTGGCTATGTAAAGTTTTAGCTTGGATTCACATGACACCTTGTGGCTAAGAAAGTTTTTGTGGTAATTTGGTTAGAAAAACATCGTTAATTAATTAATGAAAAAAAAAACAATATATTCAAAAATTCAACTGTGTTATAGGCTCTGTGTGGGGGGGCGTGGTCAAGGAAAAATTGGATGCCAGCGATCCTCGTGAGCGTCAGTCGAATCTTTGCACTCCAAATTTTCGTACTCTAATGAGTAGTGTGATTAAAAGTGAAAATATAAATAATTTTAAACGGTTTTTAATTATAAATAAAAAATGGTTAGAACGAGGCGATTAGGAAATACTTGTTGTGTTCCTGGCTGCTGTGTTAATGAAGACTTAAACAACATAAAATTTTATAAATTCCCCACGTAAGGCTATAACCTCGAAAAGAGAGTAAAGTGGGTTAAAGCTATGAAAAGAATCAAGTAAGTAAGACCATGATTATCCTAATAACTG